CACCCATCCGATAGGATATCGTGCATGCAACTTGTCATGAAGAGATTTCTCACGGTCGATGTCGCGTACGACCAATGCTTTATCGATGCAGATGTCACACCACTGAGAGCTCGAATGCACGCATTGTCCATTCATAACATCTGCAGATACATATGACGTGCTACTACCAACTACGTATGGTTCACCTGTAAAGGTTTTAGCACCAGATACATTGTTAGAGGCATCGAGAAAACTGGTTGCGCACCAGACCGACTCGCAATCGAGTGACACCGCCCGTTCTCCGCCCTGTTCGGACGGCTCCTTGAGCGACATACCCTCGAACTCCTCAATGTCGTCCTCATAGCCGTACTCGGCGACTTGGACCGGAGTGGGCGCCATAGAGCGGCGAAGGTCCTCCTTCTGTTGCTGGTACTCCGCGTACGCCTCCGCGTTGAGCCAGCCCTTGTGGCCGGTCGCAGAGTCGTCGACATAAGAACCACCGCCAGCAAGGCGGTCACCAAGCTTCTGACGCTTCTTGAAGTCAGAGAACTTGGTGCGCTTGAGGGGACCTAACCCAGACACAGAATGGTCAAAGTCGGAAGCGCGCGGATGGGTAACCGACGGCTTACGAGAAGGCTCCTCTACCGGCTCGATGCGAGCCGACAGAGGCGGGGACGCTGAGGGGCCTATGGAGAGCCGCTGAATGAGCGGCGTCTCCCCTGCGAACGCGGGCAACTCGGCGCGCGTTCCCTCAAACGTGGGCGCAATGCCCTGGTCCCGCTGGCGCTTGAGTGCGCCTGCGGTTCCGTGAGGGGGCGCCGGAGCGCTGCTTCGGCCTTGATAGGCCGTCGCGGGTTGGTGGGACCGCTTGCGCGGATCGGGGGTCGGCGCGGAATACACCGGTGGAGAGTATGAGGGGCCAGACGGCCCGGAAGCGACGTGCGCGACGTGGTAGACGGGAGCCGGCGTGTTAAACGTTGCCGAGTAGTTGGCAGCGGCGGGTGCGGCACTCTGCGGCGCCGGAGATGGCGTCGCGTTGGCAGGAGCCGACGACGAAGCCGCGTTAGCGGCCGCCGGTTTCTGTTGCTGCTGCTGTTGCTGCTGCGCTTGGTGCTCCTTGCGCTCCTTCTTGGATGGCCGCTTCTTCTTGCCGTCAGATGACGACTGGCCGTTGTACTGCTTCGTACCGGAGCTAGCCTTGTTGGCCTGCTCCTCCTTCACCTGAGGCGACTTCTTCTTCTTCTGCGATGCGGAGCGTAACTCCCAGTCGCTCCGGATGTGCGTCATGACGAGCTCCTTCGTCAGAGTAGCAAGAGAAATGGGGACTGTAGCCCCAGCGCCGGCAACAACTTGCGCCGTCGAGCTCTTGTACTGAGTGGCGTTGATGGCGTGCTTGGCGGCTTCGTAGCCGCTGGGGATCTTCGAGAACAGAATGGCACCGGCGAACTCGCCAGGCACCTTTCCGCCAAGGGAGGTGTATCGGTCAAGGGAGGCGACGATCTTGGCCATCGCCGGGTTGGGGTCGGTGTCGGCAGGGATCTGGGTGTTGAGGGCTACCTTTAGCTCGTTGATCGCAGTACTGATACCGCGCGCTTGCGCGCTGCCGGCGAGCTTGTCGAGGATCGCACGCGCCTCGTCCAAGCCCTTAACAATCTCGCGTTGATCGTGGCTGAGCGCCTCGAGAATTTTGCCGACCGCCGTGTCGTTGTGCGTCTCCCATTGGTTGACCTCCTTGAAGTCCGAGGTGAGCGTCTTCATCTCCGCGCGGGTGTTGCGCAGAGCCCATCCGGCCCCTGAGGCCCGGATATGGTTTTCCATGCGGGTACGCCAGGAAAGGAGATCGGTACCGTTGTAGATACCGCAGATCTGAGCAGACGTGGAGAGGGTAAGGTTGCCAGAAGTAGACATGTTGTTGAATCTGGGGTAAAGATAACGTCAGCGTGGGTACACTTGACGGATTACATCATGCCCAGGCGAGTCCGCGGTAGACTAGCGGTCTAGACCTCCAGAGCCGCTCGAGACCCGAACCGGTAAAGGTGCATGGGTTCTCACGGATGTGGGAAAGGCCCTTCACACATGACAGGAGGGTGTCCCCTTGATTCCTGCCGCCCTGGTGTTAACCAGTGGGCGAAGGGGGAAACGCTTCGGTTGAACCGTTGCGAATAACTCCCCCCCATGGCATACTAAGCCGCCTTGAGGTACTAGGCTCCGCCGCGCCCCGCGGGGCTCATAACCTGACAAAGGACTGACGCGAGTATAGCTAGGATGTCTATGAAAGCGCAGACTCACCGGGCAGTTAGTTTGAAGGCTGAGTAGTAGCGGGTTAGGCTGATAGCTGACGATGGTAGTCGTTCGGTGGAGAGAGAAGACTTAGATGATATTC